AAACTATTAAAAAATATCAATTCGTAAAGAAAATTTTGAGCTTAATTGACTAATTTATAAGCGTTGCATGGGTACTGGTCATTTATGGTGTGGTCAATTGGCAACATAAATAATAAAATAAACTTTAATAATTAAGCTTTAATCAATTTTTTATTAGCAAAATTAATTAAATTTTTAATTAATGACGGCTTTAATTCATTCGTACAGTTAGAATTAATTTTTATTTCTATTTTAAGTATCAAAATATAGGAAATTTGTACAATTTTGCGAAATGAATACATGTATTGTCAGAATTTATTTTAATTATACGTTAAAATATTTTTAAATATCAATTCTTAAAAAAAAAAAAAGTGGTATTTTGAACTTAATTGATTAATTTGTGTGCATTGCATAGGTACTGGTCACGTACCTCGTGGTCATTTGATCAGCATAAATAATTAAATAAACTTTAAGAATTGAGTTTTGATTAAAATTTCACTGGCGAAAATAATAAAATTTTTAATTAGTCATAGATCTAATTCATTTTTACAATTGATGCTAATTTTTAATTTAAATTTAAAATTGATTTTTATGAAAATCCTATAATTTGTAAGAATTTTTGCATAATAAACTGGAAAATAAACCCTACTATTATCAAATTTAATCTTAATTAAATGTTAAAAAATTAAGAAATATCAAAACATTAAAAAAATAGATATTTTGAGCTTAATTAATTTATAAGCGTTGAATAGTACTGGTCACATACATCGCGGTCATTTGACATTTTAAATAATAAAAAAATGCTTAGGCTTAGGCTTAGGGTGTACTTAGGCTTAGGTTTAAGCATTATTTCAAATCTAAAAATTGATTTTGGTGAAAATTTTATAATTTGCAAGAGTTTTTGTATATTAAACGTGGAAATAACTTCTAGTTTTATCAATTTTGATTTTAATTAAATGTTAAAACTATTAAAAAATATCAATTAATTAAAAAAAAATGGATATTTTGAACTTAATTGATTAATTTGTGTGCATTGCATAGGTACTGATCGCATACATTGTGATCATTTGAACAGCAAAAATAATAAAATCAAGTTTAGAAATTGAGTTCTGAATGATATTTTAGGAGCAAAATTAATTAAATTTTTAATTTGCCACTGTTCTAATTCATTCTTACAATTGAAATTAATTTTTATTTCAAATTTAAATAATACATTTACAAAAATCCCATAATTTATACGGGTATTTGCATATAAAACTAGGTAAGAAGTTCTACTATTATCAAAATTTAATTTCAAAGGATGTTAAAACTATTAAAAAATATCATTTAATAAAAAAAAAAAAATAATTATTATATACGCATAGTGCGGGAACTGGCCACATACATTGTTATCATTTGACATCTTAAATAATAAAATAATGCTTAGGCTTAGGCTTAGGGTATACTTAGGCTTAGGCTTAAGCATTATTTCAAATCTAAAAATCTATTTTGGTGAAAATTTTATAATTTGCAACAGTTTCTGTATATTAAACGAGGAAATAATTTCTAGTTTTATCAATTTTGATTTTCATTAAATGTTAAAATATCGAAAATCATCAATTAATTAAAATGAAATGGATATTTTGAACTTAATTGATTAATTTGTGTGCATTTCATAGGTACTGGTCATTTACGGTGTGGGCAATTGACAACATAAATAAGAAAATAAACTTTAATAACTATGTCTTTTTTAATATTCGAGAAGTGATATTAATAAGATTTTTAATTTGTCGTAGATTTAATTCATTTCTGCAGCTAAAATTAATTTTTGTTTGAAAGCTTAAGATAGAATTTTATGAAAGTTTTATGATTTGCAATGAATCAAAACCTTTTTTGTATATTAGACTTTTTTCTATAATTCCTAGTAATATCAAATTTTACTTTAATTAAATGTTAAAACTGTTAAAAAATATATATTCATTAAAAAAAGTTAGATATTTCGAGCTTAATTGATCAATTTATATGCATTGCATAGGTACTGGTCATTTACGGTTGCTCATTTGATCAGCATAAATAACTAAATAAACTTTAAAAATTAAGTTTCAATCAATATTCGACTAGCGAAATTGATTAAATTTTTAATTTATCACGGTTTTAATTCATTCCTACAATTCAAATTAATTTTTATTTCAAATTTAAATATCAAATTCTGTGAAAATTTAATGATTAATTAGAGTTTTGTATATTAAACAGTAAGATGAATCCCTGTATTGTCAAAATTTATTTTAATTAAATGTTAAAATATTATAAATATCAATTCTTTAAAAAAAAAAAATAGATAATTTGAGCTTAGTTGATTAATTTATGAGCGTTCCATAGTACTGGTTATTTACGGTGTAGTCATTTGACCAACATTAATAATAAAATAAGCTTTAATAATTAACTTTTAATCGATATTTTATTAGCAAAATTAATTAAAATCTTTATTTGTCATGGGTTTATTTCATTCTTACAATTATAATTAATTTTTTTTCCAAATTTAAATACCATAATTTATGAAAATTGTATAATTTTTGAAAGTTTTGGTATATTAAACTATGAAATAAATTCCGGCATTGCCAAATTTCACTTTAATTAAATGTTAAAACTATTAAAAAATATCAATTCGTAAAGAAAATTAGATATTTTGAGCTTAATTGAATAATTTATAAGCGTTGCATGGGTACTGGTCACATACATTGTGGTCATTTGATCAGCATAAATAATTAAATAATGCTTAGGCTTAGGCTTAGGGTGTACTTAGGCTTAGGCTTAGGGTATACTTAGGCTTAGGCTTAAGCATTATTTCAAATCTAAAAATTAATTTTGGTGAAAATTTTATAATTTGCAACAGTTTTTGTATATTAAACGAGGAAATAATTTCTAGTTTTATCAATTTTGATTTTAATTAAATGTTAAAATATCGAAAATCATCAATTAATTAAAATAAAATGGATATTTTGAACTTAATTGATTAATTTGTGTGCATTGCATAGGTACTGGTCGCATACATTGTGGTCATTTGACCAGCATAAATATTTAAATAAACTTTTATAATTAAGTTTTAATCAATATTTGATTAGCAAAACGAATTCAATTTTAAATTAGTGACGGTTTTAATTCATTCTCACAATTAAAATTAATTTTTATTTCAAATTTAAATATCAAATTTTATGAATATTCAATGATTTATAAGGGTTTTGTATATTAAACTGTAAAATGAATCCCTGTATTGTCAAAATTTAATTTAATTAAATGTTAAAATATTTAAAAATATCAATTCTTTAAAAAAAAATAGATATTTTGAATTAATTGATTAATTTATAAGCGTTGCATAGATACTGGTCACATACATTGTGGTCATTTGATCAGCATAAATAATTAAATAAACTTTAAGAATTGAGTTTTGATTAAAATTTCACTTGTGAAAATAATAAAATTTTTAATTAGTCATAGATCTAATTCATTTTTACAATTAATGCTAATTTTTAATTCAAATTTAAAATTGATTTTTATGAAAATCCTATAATTTGTAAGAATTTTTGCATAATAAACTGGAAAACAAACCCTACTATTATCAAATTTAATCTTAATTAAATGTTAAAAAATTAAGAAATATCAAAACATTAAAAAAATAGGTATTTTGAACATAATTCATAAGCGTTGAATAGTACTGGTCACATACATCGCGGTAATTTGACATTTTAAATAATAAAAAAGTGCTTAGGCTTAGGCTTAGGGTATATTTAGGCTTAGGCTTAAGCATTATTTCAAATCTAAAAATTGATTTTGGTGAAAATTTTATAATTTGCAACAGTTTTTGTATATTAAACGAGGAAATAATTTCTAGTTTTATCAATTTTGATTTTAATTAAATGTTAAAATATCGAAAATCATCAATTAATTAAAATAAAATGGATATTTTGAACTTAATTGATTAATTTGTGTGCATTGCATAGGTACTGGTCGCATACATTGTGGTCATTTGACCAGCATAAATATTTGAATAAACTTTAATAATTAAGTTTTAATCAATATTTGATTAGCAAAACTAATTAAATTTTAAATTAGTGACGGTTTTAATTCATTCTCACAATTATAATAAATTTTTATTTCAAAAAATCTGGATTTTGTGAAACATATTAATCTACAAAATAAATTCTAGCAATATCAAAAAGTAATTTTAAATAATTGTTAAAATATTAAAAAATAACAAATCATTAAAAAAATAGATATTTTGTACTTAATTGATTGAATTTTATGCGTTGCAAGGTACTGGTCACACACACCGTGGTCATTTGACCAGCAAAAATAATAAAATAAACTTTAGAAATTAATTAAATTTTTAATTTTTCACGATTTTAATTCATTCTTACAATTAAAATTAATTTATATTTCAAATTTAAATAATACAATTATAAAAATCCCATAATTTGTACGGGTATTTGCATACTGAACTAGGTAAGAATTCCTACTATTATCAAAATTTAATTTCAAAGGATGTTAAAGTATTAAAAAAAAATCATTTAATAAAAAAAAAAAATTGATGATTATACTTGTTGTGCATGTTGATCTAGGTTCCATTCTAATCTTCATTGCATCAACACCTGCATCAACATTAATTACGTCAATCTCTTCTCTGACCATAGTTTCACATCTTTCTATACCATCCTTTTTACCAGTACCAACTGCAGCGGCAACTCTGAGCCGCCCTTAAGCATCATTACATGAATTAGGGTATCTATTGTATTTCTTAATATCTTTAACTGTGATCAAATCTATAGAGTAGGTGTTTTCATCTATGACCAAAAGCTTTTCTATTCTATTCTCATGCAATAGTTTCATTGCTGAAGCGCTCCCGTATTGTAACTAACTTCTCTTTTGTCATTACCTCGGGGACTTTTATACTTTTTTCTGATTTTTTTAACCATCAATAAACCTTATATCTCTGTTACTTAAAACTCTGACTAACTTGCATTGATCAACCACAGGAATACCAGAAGCTTTTTCAATAATGAAATTGCTTCTGCAACTGTTTTATCAGGGGAACAACACAGTCTGAAGTAGAGGAGTCAATAGTCAATTGCTTATGTAATCCACTGACTTTTTTTGCTGCTTTCTTTTTGTACTCATGTATGAGAGACACATTGCTTTGGTCGGTGTGGCTCAGTCGGTAGAGCATCAGCTTGTGGTACTGGGTGCGGCTAGTTCGGCTCTGCTCACTCTCTCCAGGAAGATCGTTCCCTGCCTTATGATGAGTACTAAATTAGTGTGCAATTACACAGCCAGCAAAGGCTCCTTGAATAATCCGAGTGGGTGTGGCTCAGTTGGTAGGGCATCAGCTTGTGGCATTGAGTGCGGCTAGCTCGGCTCTGCTCGCTGCCCTCACTTAAAATCTCCTCTGCATTATTATGAGTCTTTAATCAGCCAGCAAAAACTCACTCCCCAAACCATCTAAGTGGGTATGTGCGCCTAGTTCGGTTCTGGTCGCTCTCCCAAATGAAATCTCCCTTGCGCAAAATGATGAGTAGTCCTAAACACAGCAAAAACTCTCTAAATCATCTGAAAATTCCAATAAACGATTGTCAGACATGTTATGTTCAACCTACTGTCTTCATCAGATGTACCTCAACTTCTTGACTAAATTTAACGAAGTTGGTAAGGAATATAGCATTATCGTCAATAAACGCACAGGGCAGTTTATATATCTATTGTCTCTTTATTTAAAAGAAGGTTTTTTGCCATCTTCATCTTCTATACCAAGCTTTTAGTTATTTTGTACATTTGATGCTCAGAAGTAAAATCTATTACTCCTTTAGAATCTAATTCTTCTTTTTGCTTTCGGATAACTAATAGAATATTAAATCTTCAGTAAAGCCAGAAGCAGACGATACACCAATTAGTGCTGCAATTCTTTCTGAAAGTTGGAGAGCAGTGAGCAACATCAGGCGCCGTCTCATGCTTGAACCTATAATTATTTGCTTGCCGTTACGAGTTACTCTAACACAATTTTTTTGCCAATCACTCATCGTGTAATCAGTATAATCAGCACCTGACTAACCAATAACCATGACCAAAGTAATCAAATAACATAAATGCTATATGAGTTTCTTGACAAAATTTTTAAATAGCAGCTGTTCTAATTCCTTTCATATTGAATGAAAATCCACCAAAAAAGACTATGGAAGCTTTTTTTTTTTTCCTTTGTAGCTCACAATGTGCTATGTACTTACTGTTTTCATCAAGCAAAGTAATGCTGTAATCCATGTTATTTTGGTATAGCAACCTGACTATCGTTTACTTGATCAGATCTGCAATTTCCTGCGGACTCTTGGAAATTATAAAATTTTCACCAAAATCAATTTTTAGATTTGAAATAATGCTTAAGCCTAAGCCTAAGTACACCCTAAGCCTAAGCCTAAGCATTTTTTTATTATTTAAAATGTCAAATGACCGCGATGTATGTGACCAGTACTATTCAACGCTTATAAATTAATTAAGTTCAAAATATCTATTTTTTTAATGTTTTGATATTTCTTAATTTTTCAACATTTAATTAAGATTAAATTTGATAATAGTAGGGTTTATTTTCCAGTTTATTATGCAAAAATTCTTACAAATTATAGGATTTTCATAAAAATCAATTTTAAATTTAAATTAAAAATTAGCATTAATTGTAAAAATGAATTACATCTATGACTAATTTTAAAATTTTATTATTTTCACGAGTGAAATTTTAATTCAAAACTCAATTCTTAAAGTTTATTTAATTATTTATGCTGATCAAATGACCACAATGTATGTGACCAGTACCTGTGCAATGCAAACAAATTAATCAATTAAGTTCAAATTATCTAATTTTTTAAATGATTCGATTTTTTTTAATATTTCAACATTTAATTAAAATGATTCTTTGATATTGCTAGAATTTATTTTATAGTTTAATATACAAAATCCTAACAAATTATTGAATTTTCATAAAATTTGAAATAAGAATTGATTTCAATTGTAAGAATGAATCAAAACCGTGATAAATTAAAAATTTTAGTTAATTTTGCCTATCAAATATTAATTAAAACTTAATTATTAAAGTTTATTTTATTATTAATGTTTGTCAAATGACCACACCGTAAATAACTAGTACTATGGAACGCTTATAAATTAATCAGTTAAGCTCAAATTATCTATTTTTTTTTAAACAATTGATATTTATAATATTTTAACATTTAATTAAAATAAATTTTGACAACACAGGGATTCATTTTACTTTTTAATATACAAAACTCTAATAAATCATTAAATTTTCACAGAATTTGATATTTAAATTTGAAATAAAAATTAATTTGAATTGTAAGGATGAATTAAAACCGTGATAAATTAAAAATTTAATCAATTTCGCTGGTCGAATATTGATTGAAACTTAATTTTTAAAGTTTATTTAGTTATTTATGCTGATCAAATGAGCAACCGTAGATGATACAAATAAATCAATTAAGCTCAAAATATCTAACTTTTTTTAATGAATAATATATTTTTTAACAGTTTTAACATTTAATTAAAGTAAAATTTGATATTACTAGAAATTATAGAAAAAAGTCTAATATACAAAAAAGGTTTTGATTCATTGCAAATCATAAAACTTTCATAAAATTCTATCTTAAGCTTTCAAACAAAAATTAATTTTAGCTGCAGAAATGAATTAAATCTACGACAAATTAAAAATTTTATTAATTTTGCTTCTCAAATATTAAAAAAAGCTTAGTTATTGAAATTTATGTTGTCAATTGACCACACCGTAACTGACCGTTATCCATGCAATGCATAAATTTAATCAATTGACTTCAAAATAACTATTTTTTTTTAATGAATTGATATTTCTTAATAGTTTTAACATTTAATTAAAATCAAAATTGATAAAACTAGAAATTATTTCCTCGTTTAAGATACAAAAACTCTTGGAAATTAAAAAAATTTTCACCATAATCAATTTTTAGATTTGAAAAAATGCTTAAGCCTAAGCCTAAGCATTATTTTATTATTTAAAATGTCAAATGACCACAATGTATGTGACCAGTTCCCGCACTATGCGTATATAATAATCATTTTTTTTTTTTTTTTATTAAATGATATTTTTTAATACTTTAACATCCTTTGAAATTAAATTTTGATAATAGTAGGACTTCTTACCTAATTTAATATGCAAATACCCGTACAAATTATGGGATTTTTATAAATGTATTATTTAAATTTGAAACATAAATTAATTTTAATTGTAAGAATGAAATAAAATCGTGAAAAATTAAAAATTTAATTAATTTTGCTAATAAAATATTGATTGAAACTTAATTTCTAAAGTTTATTTTATTATATTTGCTGGTCAAATGACCATGGTGTGTGTGACCAGTATCCATGCAATGCATACAAATTAATCAATTAAGTTCAAAATATCTATTTGTTTTAAGGAATTGAAATTTTTCAATATTTTATCATTTAATTGAAGTAAATTTTTGGTATTATTAGAATTTATTTTATAGTTTAACATGCAAAATTCTAATAAATTATTGTTTTTTCATAAAATTTAAATTTTAAATAAAGATTAATTGTAATTGTGAGAATGAATTAAAACCGTCAAAAATTAAAAATTTAAATAATTTTGCTAATCAAATATTGATTAAAACATAATTATAAAAGTTTATTTAAATATTTATGCTGGTCAAATGACCACAATGTATGCGACCAGTACCTATGCAATGCACACAAATTAATCAATTAAGTTCAAAATATCCATTTTATTTTAATTAATTGATGATTTTCGATATTTTAACATTTAATTAAAATCAAAATTGATAAAACTAGAAATTATTTCCTCGTTTAATATACAAAAACTGTTGCAAATTATAAAATTTTCACCAAAATTAATTTTTAGATTTGAAATAATGCTTAAGCCTAAGCCTAAGTATACCCTAAGCCTAAGCCTAAGTACACCCTAAGCCTAAGCCTAAGCATTATTTAATTATTTATGCTGATCAAATGACCACAATGTATGTGACCAGTACCCATGCAACGCTTATAAATTATTCAATTAAGCTCAAAATATCTAATTTTCTTTACGAATTGATATTTTTTAATAGTTTTAACATTTAATTAAAGTGAAATTTGGCAATGCCGGAATTTATTTCATAGTTTAATATACCAAAACTTTCAAAAATTATACAATTTTCATAAATTATGGTATTTAAATTTGGAAAAAAAATTAATTATAATTGTAAGAATGAAATAAACCCATGACAAATAAAGATTTTAATTAATTTTGCTAATAAAATATCGATTAAAAGTTAATTATTAAAGCTTATTTTATTATTAATGTTGGTCAAATGACTACACCGTAAATAACCAGTACTATGGAACGCTCATAAATTAATCAACTAAGCTCAAATTATCTATTTTTTTTTTTTTAAAGAATTGATATTTATAATATTTTAACATTTAATTAAAATAAATTTTGACAATACAGGGATTCATCTTACTGTTTAATATACAAAACTCTAATTAATCATTAAATTTTCACAGAATTTGATATTTAAATTTGAAATAAAAATTAATTTGAATTGTAGGAATGAATTAAAACCGTGATAAATTAAAAATTTAATCAATTTCGCTAGTCGAATATTGATTGAAACTTAATTTTTAAAGTTTATTTAGTTATTTATGCTGATCAAATGAGCAACCGTAAATGACCAGTACCTATGCAATGCATATAAATTGATCAATTAAGCTCGAAATATCTAACTTTTTTTAATGAATATATATTTTTTAACAGTTTTAACATTTAATTAAAGTAAAATTTGATATTACTAGGAATTATAGAAAAAAGTCTAATATACAAAAAAGGTTTTGATTCATTGCAAATCATAAAACTTTCATAAAATTCTATCTTAAGCTTTCAAACAAAAATTAATTTTAGCTGCAGAAATGAATTAAATCTACGACAAATTAAAAATCTTATTAATATCACTTCTCGAATATTAAAAAAGACATAGTTATTAAAGTTTATTTTCTTATTTATGTTGTC